CCGTGTTTTTGCAAAGCTCCCACAGTGCATCCAGCTAAGAACATAGTAATATAGTCAAAGTCTGTACAAGACAGGACAACAAGTTGCTTTCTGGGCACAGCTACTTGATGCTTGCTACGCTGACAGGTGGCTAGCCGCTAGCGCCTAAAGGTTGGGGATTCGGGCTGCCTCCTACCGAACTATCAAAGTAGACTCGGTCTGCTGAGCTGTTCCACACTATCTACACTATCTACGGTGCAATCACAATCGCAAAACTGCCCGGCGGCGGATGCTCTGATCACGGTCACTGTTCACGCCACAGAACACCTGCTCGGAAGGTTCATCACGGCTTGTTGCATCGACCTCAGCGGTGGGCGGCTGTGGAAATGCACTGGGAGGTCCAGTAATCTCTGATCTTCTGCGGCAATGACCCAGAACGAACACCATCCAGCAAAGGAAACTGGGGACATGAATGGAGTTCCCAGCCAAGAGCTTTGCAGCAGCATCCGGAAGCGATGCAAGAATTGGCTTCAATGGACTAGGGCCCCTGTCCCCACTCAAGGCGGGAAACACATCCAACCCTTGAGCAGCGAAGCATTCCATCGGTAGGGCCAAACGTTCCTTGCGGTAAGAGAAGATGTTGGGATGTGTGTCCATCGCAGGAAACAGTGGGCCAGACTTTGGCCCGAAGCCTGGGTTATGATCCAGGTCACAGAGGAAAGTACCATCCAAGGCCATGTGATCTTCTCGGAGAGCATCGTACTTTCGTTTCCGAGCCACAGCCCCTGGTGCCACTACCAAACCGAGAAGGCTTTCCACAGAGCAAGCCTCCGAGCCAGGGGGCATCAGGTGCTTTCTCGACTTTAGACGAGCCTCCATCCAAGTCTTGACCTCACTCTCCGATGCGGCCAAGAAAGCATCACCAGTCAGCACGCATGTTTTCTTAAACAATGCATCCCACAGCACCTGGACGCCTTCAGGATCGGTGGGGCCACACCAAACAAACTCGTCGCGACATAACCCTGTACTGAATGTACGCTTTCTTCGCACTGGAAATCCCATGTCATGAGGGCTGCATCTGACAAAGACAACATGATGGGTGCTTGTCATTGCCGCTGCTTGCTTCTCTTCCACGGGATATACACTTGCACACTCAGTAAAGAAGCAAGACTCGGCTCCCAGTTCAGCAGCTCGAACACGGTCCACATGCCACACATGATGACCCCATTCACTGACACCGCCTGCCCGCCTTTGCTTGCCGAGCAACGAATAATCCGTGCACACAAGACCAGCTGCGGTCATGGCAACAGGCTTGCCTTTCCAGGGCAGATCTTCCCACCATGCCGCACCCAAGTTCTGCGACCTTACAGACTGCTCACCCTGTCCCAAATCGGAGCCTGTACTCTGTTCCTGGCAGGCAACCAAGCGAGGGTAAACTGGGCAAGGGCGATCATGAACAGCACAGTAGCACTTGCTGTCGGCATCCAAAATATCACTTCGCTTCTCTAGCAAAAACTGAAGGATGTCTTTGTTGGCCTTGATGGCTGCTTCCAGACTAGAGTTACCTCCAGGTGCGACTGCCTTTATCCATTCTGAAACCCACAAAGGCAAACGATCTTGCAAGTTTTGAAAGACACATGATGAGCCCGCATCAAAGTTCTCAGACTGCTGTATCAAGACTTCTTGCTGCACCCGGCCCACATCACAAGCACGAACGCAATGCAAAGGAAAAGGTTCCTGCTCAGGCACCACTCGCTGTAGAACATTCCGCAACAATCTCAGGCACTCCCGGGGGGCATCATATCCTGAAAAGTCGCTGTAGTAGATGACACCTGAAGAAAGGTTGCTGTGTGCCAACCCCAACACACCGTTCTCGACAAGAGGCTGGAGCAGCTTGACCTCCCAGTTTGAAAGCTCGCACTGGCTCTGAAAGCCCTCCTGAGACCTGTCTTCTAGACCCCATGAGTCACCACGACTGTAAGCCTGCAGAGGCTGGTCTTTGCCTCTACCGACCTTGCGAGGAGACGGCATGTCTCCTCCAAACACTGGACACGACCACTACTGCAAGTCTGCAAGACAACAAGTTAAGTCGCCTAGAAGATCTTTGGAGCTGTATATACAGGGTTTGCAAGGGAACGTTGCTTGATACATATAGTCAAGCGAGTCAAGCTGCTGATGACGAGGGAGATTGTGGACTGGTTTACAAGTCTTGGTCGGGACCTAGGAACCCACTACAAAAAAGCGCATCTTCCCTAGGATAGCCCACACGACTGACGACTCAAGCACGCTTTGGAATATCACAAGCACATGATTCTCATAACAGCAGACCGTGTCTGTCCCTATGTGCGAACTACAGACCAAGAGCTCTGAAAAGGCGAGAGACCTCTGTCCATGAGCACATGCAGCCTCTCACATGCAAAGTCACTCCAGTATCTCAGACAGATGGCACACTGCTGCAAAAAACACAGGAGATTCCAAAAATCTAGCAAAAATTCACGGAATCCTGTCTTGGAGTGTCTGCGACCCATGAAAAATCACTGAATCAAGCACTGTCAACACAAATCCGGCTGTTGTTTATCAGGGCTGCCCAAAACACACCAAAACCATGGATATTTCATTCAAAATTCGTTCAAAATTCGTTCAAAATTCGTTCACAATTGCTGGAACCCATAGAAATCAATCAAAACCATACAAAACCATAGCAAAATTTTCGTTCACAATTCGTTCAAAATTCGTTCAAAATTCGTTCGCAATTCCCTGGGGCCCTTGGGGCCTTTCAGTAACAAACTTCGTGAAATCATGCAATCCCGGCTGTTTCAAACCTGATTTCATGCTGATTTCATTGCCACAAAGCCTCATCAGACTCTATCCGGCTGCAAAAACAAAGTTCACAGGTGTTTGCACTGCAAAAATAGCTGTTCCACTTCTTTCTGAGCGCCAACCATGCTCCACCACTCTTTCCCCACCCAAAACCAAAACTTTCACCCATCACTCCACTCTCTCACCACTCTCTGCAACTGTCTGAGTCAAAACACTCAAGCGCAACTCTCCTCATGCATTGCCGCACACAAACACTCAACCACAACTCCTTCATGCGTTGCCGCACGCAAACAGCTAGGTGGAATTACTCAAAGTAGGGTGCTTCAGGATTGGTGTCAGATTGTGCTTCATGAAGCAGGACCTCAGAACCACACAACCAGATTGAAGTAGAGCACTTGCCACTAGCGACCCCAAGAACGACGCCTATATCAACAAGGGCTTGCCTGTAAGGCTTGCTAATCACAAGGGTTAGGCATTAGCCTTTCCCATATCCACCAAACATTCTTGGGCATTTCGGGATAACTGGGCCTTGGGTCTGTCCTACTGAGATTTGGAGGCGGCTTGAACAATGGCCTAAACGCAGAGGAGAGTTGATGGAACAAAGGCTTCTCGGTCTTGCTTGACGGTGCTTCAGCTGTG